TTGTTTCGATAGTATTTTTGTCAAATTAAATTAAAAATTAAAATAAAAGAAAGTTGAAAGTTGAAATAATAAGGACTGTCAGTCCATTATGTTGATTAAATTAATTATTAATTTGTTAATCAGTTAAAAATTTAATTTTTAAAATTAAAAAAAAAATAATCGATTGCGATACGTTACGTGAGTAATGCGAAAGAATCTCTCGCAATTTTATCTAAAAATTTTATTTTACAATTTATTATTATAATCATTTATTTATCAATGAGATTTTAACAGCCCATAAAAATTTTTTAAAATTTTTAAAGAAACATAAAAATTCTTCTATTAAGCTATTTTATTTGACTATAACAATAACTCGGACTAGTCCAAATTAAGCTAATTGGTTCGGATTTATCTAAATATAGAGTAAAACAATTTACTTTTCAGGATTAAACAAAATTTTTTTTCCCCTCAAAAAATTTTTTTGTTGGTTATTATCATCGAGGGCAAAACGTGAGATTTTTCGTGCACACTTTGATTATATTGCGTTACAGTTCCCATTTTTTTCGACAAACTTTGACGTCTAATAAAAAGAACTTAACTCATTTTACCTTATCTTACATTCTAAATTTAGATATTACAAATGAGAGAGATTGAAATTTGGGAACACATTAGAATGGGTCTTGAAAAAATTTGGTCACACCAGTATGTATAATGATTTCCAACATTTTTTACCTTTAATTAGATTTTTTTGTATACCTTCTGAAAAAACTTCATCCATATACAGCCTGGCGCAATAGTTAATTTTTTCAAAGAAAAAATTTATTTAATCCAGCATCGAAATGAAGATTAACAAAAATTCTGCGCAGGCTCAATACATTCAACAAATATACCAAGGTATTATAATTATAGCCTGGCTAACAACTCATCAAAAACGCTCCGGCCGTCCCAAAAAATCACTTTGAGAGTTCAAAAGCTCTTAGAATAAATCCTGCAATTTCTTTTAGAAAATTAGGATCCAAATTATCGTGTAGATGTGTCCCATAGTTTGCGGCATTTAATCAATCTTGACTATGTTAATAAACGTCCCAGGTTGGATCCCGGGACTGCATCGATTCCTGCAACTCCTCAAGGTCAAAGACCCACTCAAGTTCCATATTTTGTTTATTTTTCCAACAACAATCTGACTTATTATAAAATAAACTGGAATGAAAATCTGGCATTTGATGTGCATAATCAGAAACGTATATAACAGATTTATAGTATTATGAATGATGACTGGCAACGTACAGTTTTTTCTGATAAAACATCCTTATGGTTATTTAGTAATACTGTGCAATATTGATAGAATAGTTCATCGCAATTCATAGGACCAGATAAGGACCGGATAAGAATCAACGCATGGGTGAATTTTGTAATCGACGCAAAACCAGTCTTTAACTGCGTCCGAAAGAACTTTACTGAAACAATCCATATTGAAATCATAAAAATACATCTTCCCCGAGATCAAGATTGCTGCAGAACAATTGGTGCCTCCATTAGGATAATGATCCTAAGCATAGCTATGGAATTCATTCCTTCTAGAGAATGTCCTGAACGTTGTGGCCCTTCAACGGTCCTGATCTATACCCTATAGAAAATTTTAGGACAATGGTTAAGAGGAACGCTGCCTTGCGACAGCCATAAAATTATTGTGGATTTGTAGAGTATTATGAAGGAAGAACGGTCAGAATTTTCTCAGGATATTATTAGAATATTAGTTGGGTTAATGGAGAAATATAAGCTTAAAATTGGGAAAATAGGTTAATTTTATAATCTGCCTGCTATTTGACATTCGAATGAATATTTTATCATTTGATTTGGCGCAATCTTTGTCACGTTATGCCAAGAAATGCTTATTCAAAAACTGTAGATTACTTTTGAATTATAAACTTTATGAAGCTTTATTGATTCATATTCGGCTCCAAATAGTTAAGTGATAACATTTCACTTCATAAGTGTGGAAAAGCTGATGAAATTATAGATATAAAGATGTTAATTTAATATTATTTCAATTTTTTCAAGAGAATTTACATTTAATCTATGAATTCAAATTGTTATTAAGGGAGATGGGTTTACTATATCAGGACTATTGATTGAAATAGCTATTTAAATTTTTTGTATCAAGTCTTATTTTTTACTATTGCATTTAAGGTTGCTGGGTTACCTAAAGGTATAGCGGGTCGTCTACTTCAATGAAGTTTCATTAATTATGATGATATACTTGCACGTTTACTTTCATTAAGAGCAAAAAACAAAAACAAAAATAACGATGACAACGATATCGTCTAAACTGAATCCTTTCAGGATAGCCAGTTTTCACTGGATTCCTTCTTTCTTGATGATCTTTTTTTGAATTCCTTTTTTTAGTAAAAGAATAGAAGAAATACTTGGAGAGATTCCTTCAATGAATTTGGTAAAACCAAGAATAGTTTTTATATTTTCTTTTAAGATGATTAACGATTCATCGTAAGCTATGTGAGAAGATTATGAAGTTAATCCAATTTATATTTAAACACAAACAGAAATTATATGGTATTCAACAGTCTTATTATTAGTTATCGTTGTTATTTTTATTTTATTCGTATTGTCATATTAATTTATATAAATCATATTCGTTATATTTATTTTTTATGGAAAAAGTTAGAATTTAGAGCTTTTGTATGAAAACCTCAAAAATCCGCCCTGAATAAAGAATAAGATGATGAATCTTGGAAGAGACCTTGTTTAATAAAAATTCTATCCTTACCTTTATCGTGATTCCATATAGTCTTGACACAAAAGAATCGTATTAAGTAAATTGTTGCCTAAATCTTTCTTAGAATGGACCTGAATTAGAAAATTGTTAGTTAATCTGGTTTTCAGTTCAAAAAATAGGTATGGGACACTCGGCAAATTTTGATGACAAGTGTTTTGATGGTCAGGTCGGCAATTGTAAAAATAACACTCAACATTATATAACATATAAAACGTAAGAAGAAAAATAAAACGTCACAAAATAAATAATGCGTAAATCAGATGTCACGTGTTTATTATTGTTTTCAATTTGCCGAGTGTCCCGTATATTGTGAAAACAGCTGTAATTATTTTCTTTTTTATTTATATATATTTTAAAAAAAAAAGCTACTTATGAGACTGGCAAGGTGAAATGTAAGAAATGGTAAAAAAAATGGGTTTTTGTAAGAGAAATGGGTTTTACGATTATCAAATAAAACAGTCGCCGTGGTAAAACTGCGTAAACATATGGGAGGCGGTCAATAGAAAAGGGGGAAATCTACTTTTTAGTTAAAATTTTTTTTATTGGTTCACTCTGCCGAGCATGGTCATGTGAACAAAACTAGCTTAATAACTAAAATTACTCAAAATTTGTAGATTTCCCCCTTTTCTATTGACTGCCTCACATATCATAAATTTTATGTAAAAAAGGTTCTCCTGATGAGCCCTTCTAGAATTAGTAATTTTAAAACTTCAAAATTTTTTTAAGGGTCGTTTAACATCCTTAGTTTTTACAAATGTGAGATTGATAAAAAAAAATACAATTACAGACACAGTAAAACTTTTCGTGACAAAATTTTTTATCCCGGCTAATCAATTCAATTTAGGATGACAAATAATCAGTTGATTTTTGATATTACAGCAATATTTTGAGTGCGATTTATTTTAAAAATTTTATTTAATTCTGAATAGACAAATCCGCCCATATGTTCAAACCAATAAGCAAACAAATTATCTAATATGTTTTTTAATTATGCAAAATCAAATTATCTTAAAAGAATTCACCCTGCTGGCCCAGCAACCCAAATGAATTTTTGTAAGATAATTTATAACAAAGCGAAAAAAAGTTTTGCTTCCTGAATCTTTTTTTGCTTTTAAGAAAGAAAAAGAAATTATATAATTAAACTATTTTAAGAGGATAATAAAAGTAAAAAAAAATACTTTGCTGGCCCAGCAATTCCAGTATTTATTTTACTCTTATTACCAGAAAGGAATGTGAATTATATAAAGAAAATTACATGTATCAATCTTTGCTCTCCAAAATGATTTAAAAGTCGTTCTGTTGTAACATATCCTTGCTTAAATGAGGGTTCACAAATACTGCTTCTACAATCTTTCGCATCATGGCCAATGCACTAACATTTAACACAGGAACCTAAATATGATGTTTCAATATTCGGACGTAGGAATATACATGGCAAGTTTCCTTGTATATACCAAAAGGAGAAATCCAGTTGTTTTTCTTTAACAAGGTTTAATACGCTTGTTGGTAGTTGTATTTGGCCTATTTAATACACATAAAAATGAAAAGTTAATATAGCACGTTAGCCTATCTATTATGCTCAAAGCACTTATATTTGATAAAACTGAAGGTGTGGGACTGAATGTATGAGCAACGGTACTGATACGCAATGTTTCACCTAAAGAAGATTGTGAAGGAGTCTTTTGAGAGTTTTTGTAGTAGGAGAACATGGTGAACTTGCTTCTTTATTGTTTTTGAAATGTCAGCTGTAAGCGTTTATATTATGAACGAAGTTGTTATAGTTAGTCTGGGCAAATAAACCTTTGAACTTGTCGTTGTGTTTTTGTGCTATTCTTGTTCTTCTAAAATAATATTACCTATTGAATGAAAGTTGAGAAGTTAAACACAAAAATTTTTGTGTAAATATTTTTTTGGGAATTGAGATGTAAATATATTAGAAAAAAGTGAGTTTTGCAAGTACAAGTAATTAAAAACTAAATTTGGTAACGATAAGAATTGCTCCTAGTTGTGATAATCCCGTTGCTGCATAATAAGTAAATCAATTTGTCCAAAAACTTTTGTAACACACCTGTATCAGAGATATAATTTTTTACACAATTTTTTTTTTTTTTTTTTTTTTTTTTTTTTTTTTACATTTTTACAGCTTAGAGAACAGTTAAATTATCTATATAATCAAATTTTGAGTGTTTTGACGTCCATTCAATTAACAAAAATTTATGAGCAAAGGATGAATTTTGATTTGCGTATTCTGCTTGGAGGTTAATCATCAATTATGTTTAATTTATTGTTTCTTTTATGGTTACAATGTTTTAATTTTTTAAATAAATTTGCCTTTACTTTTTATAGGTATTGAGCCTTTCTTGGATAAGCTTGCGAATTCTATGAGCGATGAACCGGTGTTCATGTTAGGTTCAATGGCAAATAGTAAAGTCGAAGGCATTTATAATATTCAAATTTTTATTAATTTTTATTAACAATATTGTTAATTATTTAACTCCCTAACTGTTATAGGACCTTTTATATGCCATGTTAATAACAAATTATAGGCTAATAACCTTGTTGAGACTTAAAAAACACAGTCTTCATTCAGCAGGTATGATCGATATTCCTTAATGCTTTTATCGTCTAATATGTTTTATTGACAATTTAATCTTTCTTGTAAAGATCTTCACTTGGTTTTTAACATTGTAAATGGTTCTTTCAACTTTTCGTTCGGTTGAATCATGGACTCCAATATGTCTTCCAAAGTTTAACAATAAAGGATTCCTCCACGCCTACGTGTGCTATATTACCGCAAGTATGTCTTCTTTTGATATCTCCAGAGAAGGATAAATTTTTGAATTATCTGATGCCAAAAATACAATAGTTGAGGTAAATTCACTCTCGCATTCTTTAAGATTTCCATATACAGTAGTTGGTCATTTATATGTTTTGATTTGTTTTGTTTTTAGCAACTCACCGCTTGCGATGCTTTACAAGGGATAGAAGCACCTTACAAAGTGAGGGTTATTATATAGGTATTTTTTTTTGATTCAAATAATCCGATTCAGATTAATTAATTATAGGCAAATCGTACATTTATTAATTTTTAATATACCTTGTTTAATGCTATGAATAGCTGATATTGGCGTGGCAGGTTTACGACATTTTATATACAAATCAAAGACGTGTTTACAATACACATCACCTGCATTTTTGGCATCATATAATAATCCTCGTGAGAAACGAAGGTATAAAATTTATGCAATTACATTTATTTAAAGAGAGATTCCCGAAATAATTTTTTTTATTATTATTTTAGGTTGTTTAAATTATATAGATATACACGCACTCACGTGTTCGACCACTAAAAGTACATTATTATGTGAGTCCGTCAGAAACTATATTAGGATGGGTATGTTTTGTTATTATTTTTTTTTTATTTCTTTTCTTTTATAACTAATCATCTTAATTATAACATAATTATCTTTTTTATTAATCAAAGGTAACAGCAACATTTGAATTATACGCTGCGTTTGGTCCATTAATATCGAAACAACATTGACAAAATTTTCCCTCGTATTATTGAAATGGATCAAAAAAGAGGAGGAAAATTTATTTATCATGAATTCGCCAGTCTTTTAACGTTCATCAACCAGACATTTATGTTAATCGATTAACTTTTTTGTATTATATATTTATTTATTACGGAAGATTGATTAATTTACTTTTTATTGCGGTAGAAATATATAGAAATATAACATAATAATATAACATTACTAAATAAATATTAATGCTTAATATTACACTCAAGAGAAATATTTTCAATGAAAAACTTATAAATAAATCATGTACCACGCTTAACATAATCTTTTCGAGAGGTCTTTTCTTGTTACCTTGCAACAATGTTTAATAGTTTAAAATACGTTTAAGATAATTCATATTCCAAAATTTAACAACAGCTTCATGTATAACAAATTTGTCAAAGCATTTATTATTTCGTGTTTAATAATTAAAATACAGCAAACTTGCCCTCACTAATTCTTGTGTAAAATATGTTTATCTTTATCACGCTTAACCATTTTTTTTTTGTGTGTCATTATCATATAACTCTTATATAGTGCCCAATAAACACATAATCATTTATTAATTATTAATTACATGTAATTTGTAATAAAATTTAGAAATTGAAAAAAAAAATTTTATACAACATGTTAACGCGTCCGTTCGTCGATGAAAAATGTATTGCAATTCTGATTTTTTTATTATAAAGATATACTCTACATTAGTACAGCTTTAAGCTGTGTGAGTTATATTTTGGATAATAGAATGTACAACTACCTTCAATTCCCAAACCACGCTTTTATAAAAAATAAACTAGTTATATTAAGCATTAAATTTACATATGATTAAAAATACAAATGAAAGTTGGGTAGGTATCATAGATATGATATTAGAGAAAGTTTTTTATGATGCGTTTATATAAGTAAGAACTGTATTCATTTAAAGGTAAATAAATAACAAGGATTATTATCGAATACATCCTTGGTTGTTGTCTTCTGTTGATGATAACATTTCATTTGGGGAAGTTCTTTCGTGCTGATACAATATTCAAGCAGCTATAAACTTGGATTTCCCAACAACACGACTAGGTCTTTTTTCTGCAATTGACATTTCTGGCGGTGAGGATATTATGATGTTTGGTAATATTGTAGATGAATTTCGAATGTATGATGTACGAATGTTTTTGGAATTTGAAGCATCAGTGCAACAGTTTATGTTGGGTGGTTGTTTTCGTTCAATTTCTTTAACATATTGTTGATTTGTAACATTATCTTTGTATGAGGGTGGAAGTGGTAAAAGGTTCAAGACAGACTGTTGATTAGACGATTCTATTATATAACACCATGTTAAAAAATTATGCGGCAAATGCGACATCTGTAAAAAAAAAATCCGTATCATACGATTTGTACCACTACATTAAAATGAATATTAATAAAAAAATATATATTTTGTTGCGTAAGGAATGGCGAGTAAACTTTATTCCCACGAAATAAAGTAAATAAATAATTAATTACATTTATAATTTTTTTAAAGTTGAAATATAAAAGAAAAGCCGGTAAAATAATAAAACATTTCGAGAATAAATAATATCACCGAAACCTGATCGCAGTATATAATAAATTTAAACGAATAGATTTCCGGAGAGCTGCGCAAAAATCTATTACTTTTTTTTTATCTAACCTAACCTATGTAATAGCAGGTGTGGTGCCATTGCCGATGTTAGTTGATGCTGAAATCCGCATTCCTCCTATTTATTATGATTATTAATGCCTTACTTCGTGTTTTCTTTATTAAAAGTATAGAAGGATCGTCTGGCAAAACCCTGAGGTCTCGGCAGGTGGCAAAATCGAAATTTACAAAATTTTTTAGAGGCAAAATCGCTAAATTTTCGGGTGCATGTTTCGACGATGGCAAAATTTTAACAGATGCCATACGTGACCCGTCTAAACTGCCAAAATTATTTTCAAAAAGTATCGAACTTCCAAATTGAAATTAAGGTTTTTCTAAGATTCGTAAATAAAAATGATAAATCTTTGTGATTTTTTTATTTTTGACATTTTTAATAATTTATTTTACAAAAAAGTTTCGAAATTGCGTTTCCATATATGCCTATAAATAATAAATCATTCTGAATACCTACTACGGTACATTCAGTTTGTTTTTTTGAAAATTCCAGACGAAAATTTTTTTGAGAAATTTTCTTCATCTTGTGGTTCTATTATCCGAAAAATTACCTTTGCACAATAACTTGAGATTCGCACTTTAATTTTGAGAAACAAAGATAATATGGATTAAAATCAAGCTACATGATCAAAATGCAAACCGTCCATATAATGAACAGAAATGTATTATATCGCAATTTTAATATTAGAACTTTGCATCTTCTTTATGTAACGAATGAAAATTTAATGTGTAATTAATAAGCATATATAACTAATCTTTTTTGACCACAGAGTCTTTTGAATTCATTTACTAATCGAAATGTAAAAATAGGGTTGTATCCATTCTGTTTCACGCTGAAATATACTGTATTATGTCGATACTAACATCTCAGAGTATGACTCCCTCTTTCTAATTTAATTCGAATTGGTCAATCTATTTCACGTAATTTCATCTTGAATTGATTAAAACTGTCATCAAAGTTATGGCACATACTATATGAAGCTGAAATTCACTCGATAGTGATTAATGCTTCAAAGTTTTAGAAAATTACTTGATCGAAATCCTTGTTAAGGATTAAATTTTAGCATGACATGATTATATTTATTTAATGGAAGTGATTAAATTTAAAATACATCTTCGACTTGTTATATGAAGTAATGTTCTCATTATTGAAAAACTTTTAAATTTTTTTATTAAAATAATAGTTTTATCCTTTTAAACTATCTATAAATAAATATCCTTTATTATAAAAGTTGGAAATCGTTTAAAAATAGTATATTTAAATTTCAATAATATAAAAGGAAAGGAATATTTAGCAAAATAATTTGTAAACATCTTTATGTTAATAATTATGTAGAGAATAGGATGAAGCAACTTCGCATATTTAAGTTCCTTAATCAACTAAATATTCAGTATTCATATATTCTATTTACGATTCGAAAAAAATAATAAAATGAAATGTGAGTTGTTATTAAAACTGATCATATTTTAACATCGTGAGGATTTAAAATTTTAGATTTGAATATTTATTACAATTTTATGTAAATTATATATCAAATTCTATTGTTTTAGAAATATAGTCTATGAATTATTAAAAATAATTAATTTATGTAATGTACAGTCACCGGCGAAAGTAATGGCACTACAAGTGCTTGCTTATTTTTTGAGTCGTAGCATGTTTATTTTCTACTCCAGAATTTTTCAGTATTTCTAGAGTGTTCTTTATAAATAACATTTAATAAACAAACAAAAAAAGGTTGTAGAAAAAAATGAATTTCTTCATGTTTTTCTATTCAAA